GGGGGGGGGGGGGGGGGGGGGGGGGGGTGGGAAGGGGGGGGGGGGGGGAAGAGATGCCACCTCGGGAACAATCAGATATAAAAGAGAAAGGAGTCCACAACAGGATAGCAGTCAAAGAAAGAAATTTTGGAAGGACCCGCCCTAACTACTCAGGTGGTAAATAGGAAGGGCAGGAGACTTGTACTTTCAGATTTGCAAGATTCTGTTAATGTAGCCTTACAATAAAGTAGAATTCGTTCATCTAGTCTTGTTTCCTGTCTGGTTTACCTGGGAAGGCTGTCAACAGCCTTAAACCATGCTAAATATTGCTTGAAATGAGAAATCAGACACTTGCCATAAAATCCAAAGCAGTCAATCGATTTTTACCATTTGATTTTTATTCAGATTTTTGCCGCTTGAACAAGTCTCTATTCATAACCCCTTTGGAGTTTAGTGGTTTTACTCTCTAGAAAATACCTTCAGGATTGCAACTGTAACATGTTTAATATTGGGGATTACTTTTCTGATCGTCCCCGCTCAAGGCAGAGGGTTGATGTGTTCTGCAAGGATTATACAGAAGGAAAACTGAATTTGGAGTCAGATTAACTGTCCGGCAGACAATTGAACATGCCCTAATTCAGAAGTATTTTTCCTCCTTCCAAGGCATCTCAAACAGCAACACTTGGGAAGTGGAAATCATTGAACGCCAGCATCACAATTGGCAGAATCAGCAGCAGCAACCTGAACACATCTATCAAGCAAGTAAAACCAGTTTAGGTAATATTTTAAAATGCCCAAACAGACACCCTACTGGAGGTGCCAGGCAGTTCTTTCAAGGTGATGGAGAGGACTCAAACCATTGGTGGCTGTTTCTCCAGCCACCATCCCCTCCTATGGAAGCTGAAGGAGCTTGGAGAAGTCCTTCTAAAGATGCTGTCTTAAACCAGACTTTCGTCCAGATGATGGAACACGATTCATGTTCCTTTTTTGCATTAGTATCCTTATATATATGAACCAATGCGTGGAAGGACAGCTTTTAACTTTGCTACAGGAGCAGCCTTTGGAGTTTCTCTCCAAAACCAATCATCGTACCCAAGTCGAAGATGGGATTCTGGGCATCTGCGTGGCATTATGGATCATTACTGGGCTCCTGGACTAAGGGATTAAAGGCTTCCCAAGATCGATTTCTGGTATCCCCAGGCAGACCAGGGAAAAAGCCTGCTTGAAATTCTGGGCCAATCCGTGTTGACAATATTAAGCTATAAGGACCATTAGTCTGATCTGGTATTCCTACCCCCCTAAGGGTATAATTTAAATGCAAACCAATAATCACAGTGTATGGCTTTTGTTTTATTCTCTTGAGCAGTCTCTTGTGTTATTTAGACTGTTTAATTGGAAACTGAGTTTCAAGGTGCCCACCCCTTTTTGCTCTCCCCCTGCTGTCATGGATTTTAGCTCTAAGCTGAAATGGTTTCTGCATTTTTATTAACCCCCCCACAACTTCCCCTCTCTTCTTGTATGCTGAATTCTTAATCCCATTCTCTGCTTCTTGAAAACTAGACCCCAATACAACCCTCCATTCCACTGGGCCAGGAGAGACACCGTTGGCTGCATTTACACATCACGTTAAGCCAGATGGGAGGTGTTTGCTCTCAGCTCAGTTCAACGTGTTTGTAAATCACAGTTCAATGTTATATGCAAACCAGACCACTACGGTTGTTCAGCAAATCAGGGATTAAGGGCGTGTGCCCTGCAAAACATTGCGCGTAGTCTGGAACGTGGCTGTTGTACCTGCATACATTCGTTTTTGCCCATCACGCCAGCGAGCTGGAGGTAGCATTTGACTTGCTGTCGAATCTTCTGGAAGCAATCCACAATGGGCACAGTTGGGATGGTATGAATGCGGCTCAAGATGTCCAAGGCCACGTTGACCAGACCCTGTTTCCGAGCAATCTTGCCATACTGGATAATGGCTGAGGCTGATGCATGGACTCCCAGCATGGCATTGTTGGAACTCGGATCATGTTGAGTACTGTTCTCGTAGGCACTTACGATGGCTAGAAAAGTAGAAAAATAAAGAGTATTTTTTAAAAAAAAAAAGACATGAAACACAGAATGAACCTAAGTATCTAGGTTCCCTAATTACAGCGTTTATATCCTGCCCTCCTTTGATGATGGTACACAGAGTGGCTAAACAGGGATGAAACTGAGTTCTCACACTTATCAGTAAAAAACAAGGTAAGTGGAAATCCGACCACTGCAAATGTCAAGGGTAGATGGAAACAGGCCAGGCCATTCAAAAGACGGGACCTCCTAGTACTCTATTACACAGGGTAGGAAGAAAAACAAAAGGCAAGAAAGTTTAAAAATTTTGTCTCTACGTAGGATTACTTCTTGAATCAAAAGAGTTGCTGACAGTTCTTTGGTTCTATCTCCCTGTCTTTAAAAATATTACTTATCAGAAGTTCCTTGATTTTCCTGGGAGCTCTCCTAAGTGTTCCGGTCCTTGTCAGGTGAAGTCTGCAGAACACCCCAAAATCCAGATTCGCTTAACTTCAGCAATGCCCTAGTTCAGGTGCCTTCACACTAGACTTGATTTAGCGGCAAAACACTTGGCATGCAAGAAGTCTCAGATGCAGATCTGGAAAACGCTTCTTAAAAAGAGCTGCTGTCATTATTGATGGTCCTCTGCTAGATAAACCCAAGAACTGATTGAGTAGAAAGCAGGTCCTGGTGTTCCTATGTCTTCATCTCATAGCACTCTTGCCTCTGACCAAGGATAGCTAAAACAGGGATAGGAAATCTGCAACCCTGAAGATGTGGCTGACCAACTCATAGCAGCCCTACGAAGCGTGGCCAACAGTGAGGGCTGCAGGAAGATCTACTTCAGCAGTATCTGGGACCCCACTGCAGAGAGTACAGAAGATGACCTTGATGGAAATATCCAAGAACCGTCACCTAGGCAAAAGGGGCTGAAACATTCTTTACATCCAGAGAAATGAGATAACATTGAGAAGGAGCTCAGGCAGAGCCCATGATGGAGTATAAGAAGGGGGAGGAGGTCCAGCACAGTCCGACTTGCAAGATTCGGTTATTATAGCCAATCTCAATTAAATAGTTTGAGCCCTCCTGTGGAGTGGATTTCCTGGTATGGTCTACCTAATGGAGCTGACACCCACTCGGGCGAGGTTCTCCACTTCATTCTTCCACAGCCTATGGGTGGCCCCATCCCACAGGAAACACTGGATACACTAAAATACAGAATTACTCATTAGGATCTCTCCTCCTGAAACAGCTATGCTGTTTCTAGGCAAAATTCCAAGTGCTGATCTCAACCATTAAAGAACTTAAAACAGGAGTAACTGAAGGGTCACCTTTTCAGATCCATACTGGCCTAAGCCCCTCAATCATCAAAGGACTTGCTGTGGGTATCCTTGCTACAGGAGATGAAACAGGTCAGGGCCACATCTATGAAGCACCCTCTCCACAGGAACTGAAACTTCCCTGAAACCAAAAGCATCCGCCTTTAGGTACTAATGATCTGCCCTTTTAAACTTCCAACATTTAAGCTGTTCTTTTAATCCTTAGTGATTGTTTTATTTCAGCCTTTCTGCTCTATTGTTTTCGGGTATTATCATTTGCACTGGTCCATTGTCAAGCTGCTTTGAAAATACCTTGCTTCAAAATCAGAATAAAAAATCCTTGCGTACCTACCCCGACTTAGTTATGAATGTGTCATCATCCCATTTGATGCATGCCGTTAAATATACATCAGTGCCTCTCAAGAACCGTCGGTTTGGAAAAAGAGTGTTTCACATCACTAAGCTTGTCGATACTGAGATTTAATTTCCCAGACAAGCTTCCCCAAAATAGAATTTTAAAACCCCACCACGTAGGGCATTGTTTTCTTTCAGCTTCCCAGACAGGCAGAAACTCCAAATGCTCTAGAAAAAGAATCCAAGTTCATCCAAGGAGAGGATCTCAGCGAGATGTTGCAGCAATGAACTTTTTAACCAAGTTGCTGAGGTCCCTCTGGAGGGGGTCTCACCTTGATAATGATGCTGCCTCCACATGAAAATGCTGCTCCAGTGAGACAAGTCATCCGACACGATGGGCAACCTATTCCTCCAGGTCTTCACCACGGTTTTCATGTCATGCAGGCTGTTGTTCCGCCCAAGGTTGGCTGGTTGCAACCCTGCGTTGATCTGGGCAGCTTCCTGAAGTTCAATGATCTGCTGGGCAGCCTGGGTGGGGGAGGAGGAGGAAGGTTAGAAAAACATAAAAATGTGGGTTCTTAAACTCTCAGGAAGGAAGTCTTACTTAACTATTGGCAACATAGTTGGGTCCAAGCATCATACTAAGAACAAAAATAGACAACACCAGGGTGTGTGTGCAAACAGGCAAGTGACTGGTTGAAGATCACCCTGCAAACATCATACAATATAACTAAATGGGGATTGGAGCCCAGATTACCTAATCCAACATACCACTGTATATTCTATCTCTGCTTACTTCAAATGCATATTAACCAATTCCAGTACTTACTAGGCCCAGAAACCAGCAGTGTTTCCCCAGCTATTTCAAAGCACACAGAGAGAGGCCCCTACACAGCACAGAGTTAAGCTCCAACAGACATATAAACATTGCTGGAATTTAAATCCTGCAGAGACAGTAAACTGATGTAAGCCATTTGCCGACCTCCTTCATGAAAGATAACACTTGTATGAGCTATTAATCAACTAACTCAGGTAACTGTCTCTTATACCCCAAAAGTTAGGCTACACTTCTGGCACGAATCTCTGAAAATAAAATAAATTCAGCAAGGCAGCCTCTTTCTCCAACCCCCACTCCCACCCATAATTGCCATGGTATCAGCTCCCACAAGAGCCTCACCTTCTCCCTACCCCATTCATCACATAAATTTAATTTTCAAGCAGGTACTTAATCACCCACTATCTGATCTAGAAAAAAGTAATTACTGCTGAGTAGCTTTATTGCCATGTTGCTAACTTGTCATTCACAGCCCACCTAAGCCATCTAACAATGAGAATATGATGGAGGTCATCCATCGTGCTTAGCCATCATTGGATTAAGCCAAGTTTGTTGAATAAGCCACCAATAAATTCAAAGAACCCACTAAGTTATACATCGCAGCCTACAAACCAAAACAGCGTGCTAGGGTCAAGCCAACCACATGATAGCTTTGCGCCTACATTCCCAATTTTGCCAGCTTCCAAATGTCTGGGCTTCGACTCCCAGAATGCTCAGCATGGGTCATGCGTAATGGGGAATTCTGGGAGTTGAAGTCTTCACATTGGGGACTGGCCAAGGACAGGAAACATAGCATAATGTGTGTACCCCAAAAGGACCTGATAAGGCTTAGGAGAAAGCAGCTCAACAACAACTGGTTGCCAGCTCTGGAAGAAAGGTCCCATCACTGATCACTGTTATGGCACCTTCCTTTTGCCTTTCAGCAGTTCTGCCATGAATGCGAGGGGCACCATTCAGTAACTGCAGGGCACAGCAACTGCTTCACAATTCAAGGAAGTTTATACATCAGAGTTTAAAAGAATTAGGGTCCCCCTGCCCCATATTTAGGTCTCCAAGGATTCCTTGCAGCCAACCCAGGTGGAATCAACAGAAAGAGATTGCATTTCCACAGACTGGGGAATGACCCATTAGGATGACAATCAGCATCTCTCCCAGGGTTTCTCAACCTTGGCAACTTTACGATGGGTGGCAACTCAACCTTGGCAACTTTACGATTCTGGGAGTTGCAGTCCACCCATCGTAAAGTTGCCAAGGTTGAGAAACCCTGGGAGAGATGCTCCTTCCGTCTGCACTCAGAGACAGAATTTGAGCCTGCATCACGTGTGCTACTGTTGACGACTGAGCGCACAGCTCCAACTACCAGTACTTTTAATTGTCCCTGTGAGTATTGCAGGAGAAGAACCATGCTGTTAAAATAGGATGGGAAAATATCAGGGATCTGGTAGCGACAAATTGTATTAAAAATCATACGCTTTTGTGAACTGGAGTTTACTTCATCAGAGGCATAGACTGGTTCGACTGATGTATCTGAACAAGCGAGCTATTGCTCGCAAAAGCTTACGCCTTTTAATAAAATGCGTTAGTCATAAAAGATGCTACCAGATTCCTGATTTCCTGCGATTATGATATTACTGTTCTTCTTTTATGTGATCAATTCCCAGAAACCTGTAAGAAGGTTGCTAAATTCCTATCGATAAGCCAAGGCTTTTAGAAATCACCCAACTGATTAATATTATTAACTGTTTCAGGTTTTTTATGTTACTCAGTACATTTGTTGTATTTTACTTTGGATGACTGGGCTCGGACCATGAATAAATAAACCTCTTTCCAACCCAAGTGGATTCTATGGATCCATCTGTCCTTCAGCAAGATGAGACTCCAAAAACAGAACGGAACTGGACCAAATTTGGTGAGGGGGGAGAACCCCACACCAAAAGAAAGTTTGAGATCAAGGCCAGGTCTGGCCAGGGGGTGCCGAGAGAAGAATCCCAGGAAAAAAAATTATCCCAGTGCATCCCTAGAGGAGACACAACAGGACAGCAGCTTGGGAAGTTGACAACTGCCCCATTCTAAGCCTTTCTCCCACTTCCTTTCTGAGTCTTATTAAAGAAAAAAATTCAGAATTTCTCTGCTCTGCACGCTTTCCCTAGCTGGTTAAGGAAAGCCAAATATCCCAGAATGATTTTTGCAAAAAGATGGGGTAAAAATCCTGAATAATTCATTATTAGCTCTCTTCTTTTGTGGTTAAAGTGACCACCTGCAAAAGAATTAGGCTCCTCCAGAGATCAACCTATCTTACCTGAAGAAGCGGTGTATGGACGTGGGAAACCACCTGTGGAAGTCTTCGCCACTCCCGGATAGCCAACCCGCTGGCCATTTCCACCAGGCGCTCAATGAAGTTAAGCTGCTGTTCGTCAGGGTGGCAAATTGCCAAATATCCCCGATACATGTTGACTTTCCATGCCATCTCTTTGGGGCAACTCAGCTCCACCTTGGGACAAAAGAAGATGATAATGGAGGTGTCGGGACCAAGGGGATCCCAAAGAAAAAGAGTGGATGATTTTAGACGCAACATGAAACTGTGGCTCACGTGAATTGCATCAAAGGCTCACGCCATGCCATAAAGACTGATTCTTTGCTTTAGTTTCTCACTTGATTAAGACTCAGCTTCATATAATTCCTCCTGCCTCTATTAAGAGGAGAGCAATGGTTTTAATACTGAAACGGTCAGGAAATTCATACTTGCTAGCAAAACATACTTAGAACTAATGTTGGTTTGCAAAGGTTCATCAACCTACCATCACCTAGCGAGCCAACCCACACTTCCATTTTCAACCAAGACGAACAGCCAAATCATTCATACAACTCCACCCGGTATAAACTGCTTTGAACTACATTAAATGACTCCCAGTGAAAGTCGGTCAGGATGAACTAGCAGCATTAAGATAATTATGCTTCCAATATTGTATTTATGAACATTTCTTTTTTTTTTTAATGGAAATAAGAACAAAATCAGAGCAGCTTAATTTATACCAGAGTGTTCCCCCCCACCCTTTGGAGTTCATTAGTAAAGGCTTCATGACTGAACATCTCTCATTCTCTCCAACTCCATTGAGAGAGTGTCCAAAGTCCTGGTGGCTGTCACATCGTTTTAGCTTGCAAGACTACACAAGGAGAAGCTGTCAGAAATGATCAATTCACTTGGCCGCAATTCAAGGCCTCTTAGCCTACCCTGCAATTTATTCTTTATTGCACAGCTGCAGTAGACGTAGGCGCATGCAAACACACACAAACGCAGCGCCAAAATACACTTGTTATAAAATTATCTTCAGATGTATCAAAGGGATAAGCTACCTCTGGAGAACAGATTTGTTCCTGCTCTTTAAAGGGAAATAAATGTACTGGACCTCAGTTCCTCATTATGCAGGAAAAAAAGGCACCTTCCAGTTTTCTGGCCTGTCTTTTAATGATGAAAAGATTCCTTCATTGTTGAAGGACAAAATTTGTTTCAATTATTTCATTTAGACCTGAAGAAGAAGCACAGATTGCATAATTCCTGCAATTAATCAGCTTTCTGCTTTATTTTTTTTTTCCCCTAGGACTTGCCCTGTCACTAAATGTACCTAAAAGGCTGGACCCTGACCTCAATTTTGCACCCATGGTTTAGAAGAAATAACGTTTGCACAAAGAAGAAATAAAGTGAAGAGCTCATTAAAGAATTGTCACTTCGCCACCATCTTGAATCCCTTCCAGTAACGAGTTTCTGAGTCATTCTCCACCAAACCCCCAGACTCTCGTCCACGAAGAAAACTCAATACAGAATAAGTAAAACAGGGCCGCATTCTTCCACTAACTTGTCCTCTGCCCTGATGCTGATTCCTCCCCATTTATTTCTTCTCATTCTCGCCATTTAGGAGATGAACCTGTCCTTTGAGGGTATGTTGGAGGGGGAGTCAAACTCCAGAATTGCAAAGGAAGCAGGAAGGGGCAATGCCACTTGCCCACTGGGTAAGGATCCTTCAGCCACAGAATGGGCATTTTGCCAGACTGCCCCCCATCCCCAAGTTGGGAAGGATCCCCTCCAAAATCAGCAGCTGAATTGTTACTTTTTAAGTGACCGCACAGAAAGATTATTACATCTATGGAGTAACCATAGTAAATAAAGCATTCTTTGACTTTAGCTCCGTGCTTGAAGATTTCAGGGAGATGTCCATGAGGAGGCCTTCTTCTGAGATGCTTTTTTGGACTCTTCAAGGTAGCCTCCACACTTGGGATTCCTCAGGTATCTCCCATCCAAGGACTAGTCAGCCCTAACCCAGCATAGCTTCCTAGGGCAGAGAGGATTGGCTGCCACTGCTAAGCTACATTCAAATCAAGTTCTTGTGAAGTTCCTCCCTACGTCCTTGGCCCTTCTTTGCCCAATGCTGGAGTTTGACTCCCCCTCCAACATGCCCTCCAAGGGCAGGTCCATCTCCCAAATGGCACACCCTTGTGTTATGAGCATTTCGTCAGAACTCCACACACAGATTCTTCTTCTCGTCAGTTCAAAATGGGTTTCGTTTCTATTCAGCTGAAAACTTCTTTAATAAAAATTAATAATCATAAAAAAAAAAGAACTCCACACACCCAATTGTGAAGATTCATGACGTTCATCCTGGTTTTCCTAATCTCTTACTTCCCTGCACTGCACAGGTTCAAATGCATGCAGGCACCGCCCCCCAAACTTTGCAGGAGAACTGAGAAGATACAGGAGGACCACAATCAGATGACTGAGTGCAACACCACCAGCTTCCATCGTTTTTTTTCAGGCCTCTAAGGCTGTATCCATTTAACTTTAAGTATCATTTAGCTTAAGGATGGATTCCACAGGCATTCTTGGTGGAATTCTTTGGATAGACTCATGATAAAAACCTACTTGAAATATACATTTGAGCAAACTATACAGAGGGGCTTCTTTTAAAAAATCATTATATCTGAAGTTCTCAAATATCTCAGCATGCCTGAATTATGGGTTTAGTGAAGAGAAGCTGCATTTCAAAACCAGCCCTTCTATAGCAAGCCACTTAGCGATATCAAATTTCACCTAAATGCATGTGGAGTTTACTTAAGAGGAAAACAAACACACTCCAGTTCAAGTGTGGAGATTACTTAGCAGGATGCAAGATGCAGGATGTAACAGCGTACAGTGTGTCAAAAGCAAATCGACCATACATAATTTGGGATACTACCTAGGGCTGCAAAAACCTATAGAGTCACTAGATGGCAGTGAAGGAAATGCTATCTGCCACCTAGTGGTGAGCTGGATTATTGCAGCCCAGATCTGGTACAGTAGTCCTAATATGGCCCCACAATCAGAAGCCACTTCAGAAATGGCAAAGGGAGAAAGAAACTATGGTTTGCCTTGTACATAGGAGCAAACATCTTTTATGTTACAGCACATCTTGGCTTGGTATGACATAAGGCAGCTGCTTCATCCTATTTTAAATGTTGAGCAAGACTCCTCTGGAAGGGAGCAAGCTTCAAAAGCTAGGAGCTGGGCACTGAAGTTTTTCATAAACATGGTCACTGTCTAAATTGGCCACTGAAGTATGGATCTCCCCAACCAAGCAAGAGCAAACGTTCGATCCCACTTCCAATTCTTGTCTTGAAATAAAGCACGTTGACCCAACTTGAGCATCACATCAAATAGCATCAAATGGAAGATGAAGCACATATTGGCAACAAGTAAACCATGGTTTGGTCATGACTGTCGAACTGGGCCAATGAAGGTAAGGTAGGGAAAATATCAAGCAGTCTTTCCTTTCAGACAAGGATTGCTCTGCATCTTTGGTCGCTCCATGATTACACCTATTTTATTCTCTGTCTTTAGATGCCAGGTAGACATCCCAACCCAATTCTGGTTAATGCAATTTTTTATACCACACGAAGCTGCATGACCTACATAGGTTTAACACACTGCATGCAGTACATAAACTGCCAGGCATCCCAAACATTCAAAGATCGTATTTAGAATGGTTGCAATTGCAATCCAAGTTGTTCCTCTTCACCATTTGCCAACTAAAACCTTCAAGCACATCTAATTGATTTCTTGTCTTTTTTGGTTGCCAATCTTCACTGCCATTAAAGGCTATATTGCAGGGCATTGTGATGTCAAATGAAACAGTGGATGGCTGATCACTAATGAATTTTTCATTTTAAAACTATGCCATCCGAACTGAAATCTATCTCCATTAGCCATCAGCAGTGTTTTATGCCCTCCACTTCCAGCGCCGGCTTTAAGCACGTAAACAACAGAAAGAAGGCAGTACCTCAGACAACATGGTCATCTCCTTGGTGCACAAATTCAGAAGCCAAAGGAACACCAGAAAGGAACCCAAAACTGAAAAATCCATGTCCAGCCACAGTGACAGAAAATGGTATTTCCACAAAGGTATTTTAACAGATACTCCTACGCATTGCTGTTGAGTAAATTACAATTACAAGATCTGGTGCTCTCTCTTACCACCAACCTCCATTTGGGAGCATACACAATTCCACGCAGCTCTAAATATTTCTTACATTTAACCTTCAGTGCTTTCTAAAAGGGTAGCCCAATGTTCCTTCTGATCTTAACCATCTTAACCAGGAGTGATACAAGCAGGGTAGAATCTTCTACAGGCTGGATGCTGAAGCTGTGGTCTATGGTAGATTTCAGAGGGACTCAGCAACACAGTTAACAAAGATGCCAAGGCAGAGACAATGTATGGAATCTGTGCTTCCTAAAATGGTGCAAGCGATCCAATGATCTTGCCATGCCGCCTGATTTTTGTTAAACTATATTCTGGGGAACGACTGTTGGAAACGTATGATCCATCTGTTTCGGACAAGGCTATCATAATTCTCTACTAATCAAAGGATGCAACGCTAACGTGTTATTACGGCAGAGAGGTTGTGATATTTTACAGAAATATTTTGTACCGATTATATTATAGCGGTAAACCAGTGTCTATTGATAAGTACAATATTAAGTTAGATTTTTCTCTCTTTTTTTTTCAGTTTGTATTTTTAGTTTCTGCGGGGTTGTCACTTCTCTATTTTTAATTGTTTTTCTTAAGTTTAAAGATTGTTTTATTATGTATCGATTTTTTTTAAAAAAAATATGTTCTTACTAAAAAAAATATTCTGGAGATGGGAAATCTTTTGTGTGCTGAGGTGTGGTGGAAGGCATGAGCGGGGAGGATTCTGGAATGGAGCTCCAAGGTTACAGGGAGGGGGGAGAGGCATTCCAAGGGAAG